AAGGAAGGAAGGAAGGAAGGAAGGAAGGAAGGAAGGAAGGAAGGAAGGAAGGAAGGAAGGAAGGAAGGAAGGAAACAATCTCACATACAGAATTCCAGATAAATCAGTGCAGTCAGCCTAGCTAAACTGGTTACATATTACCTACTTTCCTGAGATTTGGAGTTTCAGTACATGTTCAAAGTACAATGCAGAGAAAATGGTTGGAGAGAGATTATCTGGGTGTGTTTGGACATTGATAGGCAGGCTCTATTTCCTCCAATTCATCATTCTCCTTTTCTTCTTTCCTTCCTTCTTTCTTGAGAACCATCCCCATTTTAATAGAATGTGGAGGAAAGTGAAAACCAGCCTCTTTGGGGAAATTGATTGTTGCTTTGCCCAATTCTCCATCTTTGATGTCATGGGCTAGACAGCAAATCAGATATTAAACCCACTGTCCTAATGATCCTTGATTGAATGATAATGGCAGAATCTAGTTTTCATCAGTTGTGCCTTTGAATAAATGGGATTACATACAGACACTTCTTTTGGAAAAGTAGAATTCCATTTATTCTTGTCTCTTAGCATGAGGACAACTTATCAGATGTTTTAGATGACATAGTTGTGCCATACCAAAAACTAGAGGTTTGTCACACCTCTTTAGTTGGTATCTCAGCCGAATGACTTCCTATTATGCTGCTCTCTTCTGTGGCAGGATCCTGAGATAGACATGGAACAATGGGTGGAGAGCAGGAAATGCTGTATGAGAAACAGGATTTCGCATTAGTGCTGAGCTGTCTGTAAGGGCCTATAGGCATTCCTCCATCCTGCTCCGGCTAAACCCCAGCCAAGATTTTTTTTTCTGACTGAGTCCCAGCAGCTTACGCTGTACTCAGTCCATTTCCACTCTTAATCAGTTTCCTGTCCTGCCCAGTTTTCTTTTGTGGCCATGCTGAGGCTCTCCAGTTAGACTTCCAAGTGAGCGTGGGAGAAGCAACAGGATTGTATCCCCCCTGCAGCTACGTGTGGCAATAAACAACAAGTTAAAATGGTGGATGGGCCTTTGGGTGCCAGTGTGAACTCTTGAATGAATGAAGTTCCTGAGACAAACAAAATCCAGCTCCTATGGCTAACTAAATGGAGATTTTCTTCGCATTCTTCTGCTGAGTTCCTTCAAATCAAAGAAGTATAAACATTTATTCTGATTGATCTGGTGACAACTTTCTTGTAACTGCTTTAACTCTTGTGAAGTAATGGAGGATGCAAGAACAACAAGCTTAAAGGATGCATATAGCGAATGAGAAATAACAGAAATAATCCATAACACCTTTTCTTCTTCTGAAATAGTGATGTTTCAATTCTCCTGACATTGAACACATTCCTGAAAATGAAATTGGATAAAATTGGTCTTCTAAGCTTCTTCTTGCACCTGGCAGGTAAAATCTATTCTTACTTTATCTTATCTAACTATACCTTACCTATCATCTGCATTTCTATACCAACTATTCTGTCAAAGAACCAAAGAGAACTGGGTAGCTCACAATCTGAGATTTAAAAAATCATGGAATAGTAAAAAAAAAAAAAAAGTAATAAAATGTAATGCAAAAAATAAAACTAATCAATTCAGGCTAAAGCCAACATTATAAAATGAAAGCAATACAGGGTTCTAAAAACAATGTTTACAATTTGAACAATAACAAGCCTGAATAGAAAAGTATCTGAAATGGTGCCCCAAAGGCCAAACTATGGACACTGTGGGACATTAATCTATTCCAGTGGGGAAAGAATTCCACACTGGAGCCCACTATTGAAAGTAGTACCCAACCACCTCACTTTGGTATATCAGAATCAAAGAGAAGAGAACCTGAAGGGGATTCCAGAACTAGTGGCAAACAAGAATTTAACCCCACCAAACCTTATTGTCTGGGATGCAAAGAACAGAACCATCTGATTCTTCTAAGAACCTTGAAAAATTGTATTTCTAGGTAGAATGATTCACGTATGCATTTTCTTCTTTTTAATTCAATGTTAGATAGACCAATAGCATCTGTCAGTCTACCCTGAAAGCTGGGGAATCACAGTGAAAATAATCAACAGTAATAGTGTAGGAGGAGAGCCATATTAATCTATGGTGGCAAAAAATCAGAAGGGATCTGGTAGCATATTTTTGCACTAACAGATTTTGTTAAAAGGCATGTGGCTCACTTCATCAGATGCAAACATTTATGCCCTTTAATAAACTGTGGTAGTTGGAAAAACTAATAACAGATGGGCAATTGTTGAATGATGCAGAAAAACAGATAAATCACTTTATGTTCTCTTTTGTTGTGTTGCTTTTATTTATATCTAGATACTACATCCACTATCAGACACACAATCAGCAGCTTCTTACTTTCAAAAGTACTCACTCTTTTGAAGAGATGTACCGCTTTCTTGTAAATCGGGAGCTGTAGGCGGCCTTTGAATATCTTGGTGGGGGCAAGATTCCACAATGTGATTGTACCAGTATTAAGAAGTGAACAGATCAAAAACTAAATCTGTCTTAATTTTCATTAAAATTAAAATACCAGATACAACTAACATAATCAGTGTCTATGTATTTTATAAAAGATCCCTTCCATCGCATTCAGTATTACAATGCAGTGGCAATTTTTAGGGGCAGTTCTGAGACACACCCAAAGCTTTAGGCCTCAAACTGGATTAAGTTCTGATCAGGAAACTAGTAGCTGGATTTGGGATTTAAACATTTTAACCTATTTTTCTTACCAATGTCTTACTAATAAGAAAAATGGAAGCTTGAGGAATTTTATCAGAAAACATTATGGGGGTGGGTGAGTGAAAAAGGTTGTGCCATGTTCCCAGTGCACATCATCTGTTGTTGCCAATGTGGGTCGTGATTCTTTTATTTTTTGCAAAGTGATTTAACTGACCAGCATAGAGAATGTGAACTTCAGGAATCTCATCTGCAAAACATCAGACTAAAGTTAACATTTTTATGAAAAATAACATCAGAATGTAATATCTAGCACTGAATTTAAAATAATGTTAAGCCTTCAGGAGAAGATTGGCATCACAGAGAAGTGTTTCCAATAGATGAATCATTTCATATGCAGAGATGGCTATCCAGAACCTCTAGTTGTCTAGCAATACAATCTGAAATAATTTTCTAGATTTCCACGTTCAAAATAGTATGCAACTGATATGAGGATGAATTTCACATGTGCTAATTAGATGCATGTATTTTGATGCACGTAATTTTGTGAAAGCCCGACTTTAAGGAATTTTGTCACATTTATAAATGATCAAAAGCTATTATCCTTGACTGTTAGGTCATTCTATTCTCAATTTGTTTTCCAAGTCACAACAAATAGAGAAATAAACTAACACATTAGTGATCTGATTTCCAAGCTACACTGAATGTGTCCTGAGTTAAATGAATAATATTTTTATATGTTAGTTTCCTCTGTGCTAGGAAATGTCATCCAGCACACTTTTATATGTGTTATTTTATTTTTCAAAAATGTTTGGTACCAAAATAACATGTATAAAGATACAGAACATCATTCTCTGTATTCAATAACTAGAAGTATTCATTCAAAAGCAGTTCTAATATTATTAAAAAATAATTCTACATAAAGTGACTTAATTAATTTAGACAAGAGAATATAAGGCATATGAATAGAACTTTGTCCTAGAATTTACTAATGCAACAGTTTAAAGTTAAAGTATTTGTATATATTTAGTCTGAGTTGTCCTTCCTTTTTTATATCTGCAGGTAACATGTTAGTTTTGGCAGGACTGCAATATGGCAAGCACCTTAAGATGATTGAACAGCAGCAGGGCAATAGGCTACTTCCAGTAAGATTGTCAAAGATTTTAGTCAGTAAGTGTTTTATGGCAGGGAGTAAGTTCTTGCACTTTCAAAAAGACTAAGCCCATTAATGACTAATAATAAGTGGTAAATAATAACTTAGGCTCTGGGTTATATACAACTCTCAGATTATTGATCACAATATGATTTATTCTACAAAGTCATTACTGACACTTCAGGTAGTGTATAAGCACAACGTTGATTCATATAACACAGCTATCTGTTCCATTATTTTCTGAATATGAATTCTATAAATGAAGTCTGACCCAGAGTTTTATGTGGTAATGCAATAAACTGCAGGGATCGCCGTGATTGTGATCCTACTCCTGAGAATGGTGATCATGTTCTGGCACAGTTAACAAGGCAACCAAAAATTTAGAAATCAGCCTGCGCTATATTGGCATCCTTTCTGTTTCTGGCTAAATCGTACGAAACATGCAGTCAAAAAATGCAAAGGTAGGGGCAGTCTGTAACGTTGCCTTTGGAATGGACTCTTTGTCCAAACCACGATGGTGGACATCTATGGAGGTTGCACAGCATATTTTGTTAATCCTATTAAAAAATTACAGTTCTGGTGTAACTGATGGTTTGGGCCCTATCCACTTTGGGCATGCAGCCTTCAGTGTGCTGCACAAAGCCTGCATGGCCCTTCAGCTGACAAAGATTTTCCACTCCTGGGGTAGAGCAAGATAATCATAATATGATATGATCACAACTCCTCATCTCATCCAGAGAAGTTTGAGAGTAAGAACTACAGGAAGCAGCTGATTAAGATTCTTATTACAGTTGCCCTGTTGATTAACTAATTAGCAGAAAATAGAAAAAAATGTTGTTGTTATTATTATTATTATAATGTATATGCCACCTGGCTCCCAGCAAAAACATTTAAAAACACAAAACCAACACAACCAAAGGAACAAAAATGGCAAAGAAATAACAGAACTCCTGAAATTAATTTTGCTGGGATTGTGCTGTCTAGCTATAGGGACTTAAAAACTGAGGTGGGATCAAGAGCCCAAATAGTGATCAGATTATGGGGAGGAACTGTATCTCACAGAAATGCATATGAATAAAATTTACAAGCGTTCAGGATGCGTAGAGTGCTTTACAATCATTTTCATGACTGCCCAGCATAATTGTCATAACCAAGGCTAAGGATTTTTTTTATGCTTTGCAACTTAAGGGAAGAAATTATGTAAATAGGTTCATAACTCTGTCCATCAGCACAATAATTCTCTGAAAACTTAACGTGACCAAAGTTGGTATGGGGGAAGAGGCCACCAAAAGAAAGATCAAATCTGAAAATGGGCCAGTTAAGGGCAGGGACTGTGGAGAAAAAAAATCCAGAAAAATTCCCTAGCATATATCTACAGGAAAGGCAACTGAGATCCACAGTGAAAAGAGAAATGAAACCAGAATAGAGTCAACTGAGAAATAGGATTTGCATGATGATGATAGTAATAACACTGAGTTATTGTATTGGTCTGTTTACTCTTATTCATTCTTATTATAAACCTAAGTGGCTACGAGTATTGAAAAGCCTCGTCCACTTTGAAAAACCAGAGGACTAATCAATGTCAGCTTCTGTTAGCTCTGACTGTTTAGTATTTTTGATTATTCTTCTTTATTTATGCTCCAGGAGTTCTAGGAGTTCCAAGTCTTTATCTGAGTTTGAGGCTTTCCTCTCCTAAATTTCCCTTTTCTAGGAGAGAGGCAAGGATCATACAATCTTATATAGTCAAGGCAAGATTTTACATTGAATCATTTGAATCATGCTTATCATTATCTGCTCTCCAGGTCCATAAATTGGTTCCTTCTTTGGTTCTTTTGGTGCAGGAGCAATTCTGGATATCACTCTGGTGGCCAATGTTCTGAGTCCCTCCCACAACAACTTCTACCTGTCCTGTGTGACAGGCGAGCGGAATGCCAGCCTCCAGATTGACAGAGACAATGCCATGATCAAGACCACATCCAAGTTCCAGATATATAGGAACAGCAGCAAGGAGGTGCATATGCGAGGGTTTTCCCGAGCAGGCCTGGTAGGCATCACGTACTGCCTGGGGAAGACACAGTCAGAGCAAACCAGAGTTGTTTACGTGCACAACGATATTAACGGTAAGTGTGATAAAAAGATTCATGTGACAATGGACAAGATACACTGATATGTGGTATCTAAAAGCCAAACTCTACACTTGAGTAATAGCAAGAATGAATATTTTTAAGTTAATATTTCTCAACATTCGCTCCTTATCTCATATGATGTAATGTTCTCTGCCCTGATATGAGCCTTCTTACAAATGATGTTGTTGCTTTTTTGTTGTTTGCTGAGAGTGGAACTCCAGCATAGCATCAGAATAATGTGTCCAAGGGGAGGGATGGGGAGAGTATATGGCAAAGAACCTACTTTATACCATCTGCCACAGAGGAAAAAGTCTAATGGCTTGTACTTTAATTCCTACAAACTTGTTCCCACCCACCTCAGCTGTCCCTGCTCCCCTGGAGACACTCCTGTTCACGCACACACACACTCCTTGCACAGAGATAGAAATGGAAGTAGGCCAGCAAGTCCAACCCCCAATACTGTTCAGAAATTCAAATTAAATTATCCATAGCAGTCTCCACTTGATCATATCCAGTGAAGAGAAACTCACCACTTTTTTTGGATAATACTTGCAATACTGTCAGACTGCTATTCCTGTTACAATGTTTTTTTCTAAAATTCAGTCAGAATCTGACTTCATCTAACTTAAATCCATTATCCTATCTGTTGCATTATGGGGTAATAGAGATCTTCACCTTCTTCTCTGTGACTTCCTTTCATCATGTCCCCCTGAGTCTTTTCTTTTCAAGATTCAACTGTTACTCAATTTCTTTTCCTAAGACTTCATTTCTGGTCTCGTGCTCATCCTCATGGCCCTTCTCTGAACCTGTTCCACTTTCTCTAAATCTGCCTCCAACAGTAGTACCCTTAATTGGACCCAATACTCAAAGTGGAAGCTTCATAGCATAAAATACTTTGGAACCATTACCTCTGCAATTTGGATACTATACTTCTGCAATTGCAGTATAAAATTGCATTTGTTTTTGTTGTTGTTTTTGCAGCCACATCATATTCATAGTCACATATCCCTTACCTTACAACAGTATATTTGATTTGATTTTCCTAAGTGAAGTGCTTTGCATTTGTTTCTGTGAAATGTCCCAGTGTTATTTGCAGCCCATTTCTCTAACCTATCAAAATCATTTTGAATTTTGTTTCTGTCTTTTAAGGTATTAGCTATCCCACCAAATTTTGTATCATCTTCAAATCTAATAATAAGCATTCTCCCCACCTCTTCATCCAGCCCATCAAATACAATTTTCACATAAGGAGAGGCATAGGTCTCCCTTCCAGACTTAAACACAAAGCTTAGAGAAGCTTAGAGAACAAGAGATTCATCTGTCTTTGTCAGTCAATAGGGAAATAATAGCCAATAGCACTGAAACGCTGAGAGCCAATGTGGTATAGTGGTGGAGGTGTTAAACTGGCACTGGGGTTGTAGTTGAAGAGCAAATGAGAGAAGTGCTACGTATGCCACCTTGAGCTCCTAAATGAAAGTTGGGATATAACAAATCTAACAAAAATATAAATTAAATTTGGGCATGGGGGTGGAAGAATGCACATACTTTACAGTTTTTAGAAGAAAACTTCTTTAACAATAAAAAAAATCTGTGTTAGCCTGGCTGGGGAATTCTGGGAGTTGAAGTCCACATGTCTTCAAGTTGCCAAGGTTGAGAAACACTGCTGCTGGGGAATTCTGGGAGTTGAAGTCCACATGTCTTCAAGTTGCCAAGGTTGAGAAACACTGCTGCTGGGGAATTCTGGGAGTTGAAGTCCACATGTCTTCAAGTTGCCAAGGTTGAGAAACACTGCTCTAGATGGTGGAATGTATGTCTCAGAGAAGTTTACTAAGTCTTCTTCCTTCCTGTCTTTAGACATACAGTATTCTGAAGACCTTAGTGTCCTCAGAAATATTTTATGTTGTTTTATTTCTACTAACCCTTTTATAAACCTCTCTGAAATATAAATTCTACCAACAAGAGGCTGAGAATGTTGCTCTATCCCACTGTTGGTCAAAATCAGAACATCTCTACCACTGAATGATTGTAATTCTTCATTTCTTATCCCAAACCCACCCAATCCTAAATTGCACCTTTATGTTGTCCTTCAATGCCTGTTTGATTCCTTCTTTCCCATAATGACATATGAAATGTCAGGTCTGATACAAGTATTGCAGGCTTCACTGTAGTACAGTAATGCAAAAGCAAATATTCACAGAACAACAAAAGCAAATAGACTCAAAGAAAATATTTAAGAAAAATATTAAAGAATTAAAATAGGCATAAAATTAGACATAGAAAATAAACCAAAAACTAAACAAACAAAAATGAATGTTCTGGTCAACCCCAAATGTCTTTTTTTTTTTTTTTTTGTCTGCGCTCAGTTGTTACCGACTCTGCAGTGACTGCCTTTTGGACGAGTCCTTTTGCAATTTTCAAGGCAATTGTTTTTCGGAAGTGGTTTGCCAGAGCCTGCTTCCTAGAGCAGAGCC